CACTCTCGTCCTCTTCCTCCGCCCTCCGCACCGCGTCGACCGAGTGGAGGAAGCACCCATCGCGCACCAGCAACCTCCGTCACGCGACGCCCGACCTCGGCATCGCCCTCGTCACCTTCAACATCTACCTCGTCGGCGAGTCCGCCTACAACCGCATCAACAACTCTGATCCTCACTCTGGTCACTAAACAACGGAAACCCTAACCAAAGGTCCAATCTTTAACTTCCAATCTCCCAATTTCTGATATTTTTGTTAAAATCTAGGGTTTGATGGAGAATTTTAGGATTTGGGCTTGTTGGAAGATTAGATCACTGAAACTGTAGAATGTGGGATTTGGGCTTGTTGGAAGATTAGATCACTGAAACTATAGGATTTTAGATTGGTTGAAGAATTGGGTGTGTGGTGGATTATTATTTGAACAATTAAAATTTAAAAGACTTATTATGCATCCTCTCTTTGATGTTTATTGTTTGCGATTATATCATCTATTTCAGCATTACTTGATTGATTTCTTATTGATAGTTGAGCTAAGAAGGCTTGGGTTAGGGAGCCTGATCACTAACAAAAAGGGATTTGTGACTCGAGTAATTAAACAAGAGTAACTCGTAGTTACGTGCTAGAGGAAATAGTGGCTAATGTTGTAGAAGAAGCATGGCGTGCTCTTGGCATCCGGAAGCTCTCGGGTCAGTTTCATGGCGTGCTCAATCTCGGCCTCGTCGTGACCCCGCACGTGCCGGGGAGGATACTGTTCTACGAAGGACATAGGATGATAATAATAATAAGAAGAAAGATTATGATAATAATAAGAAGAAAGATGAACCATTTAAGTTGATTTCTTGAGATGATGATAATAAGCCTTGATGGAATCTCTTCCAATGTGGTTATTAGTATAGTTGGTTTGGTGCAAATTTGTCGTTTGGACGGTTAACAGAGTTCATCGGTTTGTAAAATTTGATAAGGAAATGGAAGTCAACTTGTTTACTTTTGCCATAAAATTCTGTTTGTCCTTCATATGACAAGCCATCTTAGAATTGCTCCAGGTGTCCTTTTATGGAAGTCAACTTGCTTATGTGACATATGATAGTTTCATGTGACATATGACGGTTTCATATCAAATATGTTGTTTTTATGTGACATTTATTGTTTATACGTGACATTTGGGTGTTGTATGTGATATTTGGGTGTTGCTTGTGACATTTGTTGTTTATACGTGACATTTGGGTGTTGTATGTGATAGGGTGTTGCTTGTGACATTTGCTGATTATACGTGATATTTGGGTGTTGTATGTGATATTTGGACGTTGCTTGTGACATTTGCTGATTATACGTGACATTTGGGTGTTGTATGTGATATTTGGCTGTAATTTATGATATTTGGGTGTTGCTTGTGACATATATTGTTTATATGTGATATTTGGGTATTGTATGCGATATTTGGCTGTAATTTGTTGATAGTGAATGTGCTTATTTGTCACATGGCTGTAATTTGTTTATATGTGACACATGGCTGTAATTTGTTGTATGTGATATTTGGGTGTTGTAAGTGATATTTGGTTATAATTTGTTATATTTGGGTGTTGCTTGTGATATTTGTTGTTTATATGTGACATTTGGGTGTTGTATGTGATATTTGGCTATAATTTGTTGGTATTGAATGTGCTTATTTGTCACATGGTTGTACTTTGTTTATACTTGATACATGGCTGTAATTTGTTGTATGTGATATTTAGATCTAATAGTCATTCCACATCCTCCTTGCCTCATTGTCATGTGTCACGTATAAATAGATTCTCAAAAGTCACATATCTACCTCGTTGCCTTCTGAACATCTAAATATCACAAATCAGATCTTTTTCTTCTTCTTCTTTCTCCAAAATTGAGTACAAATCCTCTGTCATCTCCCTAAATTTGAGCTATTATTATATCAAAATTACTCCCTAAATGATTTCAACCCATCAAATAGAGTTTAAATCTTCTTAAATCTGCTTGTTCTTCCTATTACCCCTTCTTCTCCAAAAAGCTTCTAATAGTCATACTCTATTTGATGGGTCATGGAGAGCACTCTTGAAGTCTCATATTCTACAGTTGAAAAGAGGTTAAATCATACTGTAATATATAAATATCACATAACAGCAGCATATATCATGGATAATGAGAATATATCACACATAATGTTAAAATATCACATAACAACAACATATGTCACACATAATACCAAAATGTCACAGGAAACAAGTATATGTGACATACACGCAACATATGCCACACAGAATGCATAAACGTCACATAAAAATAACATAAGTGACATGAAACCATCATATTTTACAAATAAATAAACTCTGTTAATCATCCAAACTTCAAATTTGCACAAAACCAATAGTATTGTTAATTGCAAAGAACAAATTAAGAGCATACAAGATTACAACAAATTAAGAGCATACATGAGCATACAAGATTGCAAAGAACAAATTAAGAGCATACAAGATTACAACAATATTGTGAATTTGCACAAAACCAACCTTCCATTTCAAAAGAGATTCATCTTCAACCTCGAGCTCACCAGCTGGAAGCTCGATCCTCAGCCTCCGAATCTCCTTAAAGTTCTTCAAGACCTCGGTCAACGAGTGATGTGAAACTTCGGACGAAACTAGAGAGCAAGCTGACAACGAAGCTTCCACAGATCTCTTATTCAAGATCTGACCTAGGGCTTGGATAGGCTTGACGATGCCTCCAAGGATGAGGCAAGTGAGATTCAAAATGACGCTGCTTGTCTTATCGTCGTTGCCTCCTCCGACGGCGGAAGGCAAGGGGGAGGAGGGGGTCGGGGAGGAGGGGGAGGAGGAGAGGATACAGATGAGGAGGGGAGGGGAGGAGGCGGACGGAGCCGAGGAGGGGGTCGGGGAGGAGGGGGAAGGAGGAGGACGAAAGGAGGAGGGGGAAGGTGGTGGAGGGAGAGGTCTTGGGCCAGATTAGGGCTAGCTTAAGAAAGGAATTGGGTTTTAAATGGGGAAGAAGAGTAAATTGGGAAGGGATTTCTTGGGCAGTGGGAGAAGGGGGTTGGTAGCACTAATATTTTAAATTAAGGGTTTGGGGGTTATAGTTTTGAGGCTGGGGAGGAGGATGCATGAGCCAACTATTTTTGGTTCCTCCAAACAATTTTCCCTATATTATATTAAAATATAGGCGATTTGACTAATTATATTGTACTACTCATTATATTATAAGCAAAGAACTATGTACTATAACATAACAGTATGATATTGCATGCTCTCTAATTGGGGGTTTATGTGTGGGCGTGGTACATTTACAGTTGAGTAGGTTGAAAATTTTTTATTATAAAATTCTAAATTTAACTCATTAAAGCACTCACTTATAGCGTCCTCATATGCCTAACCTCTTAATTAATTATCTACCAATTTTCTATTTAATCACTCACCCATAACTTCAATATTCCTTAATTCTATTCATTTATCTCCATCACTTTGCAATCAATTTCCCCCACTCTCTCTTAATGCATGTGTTACATGATTTACTCCCCTCTCTATTA